TATTGGATTTAATTTGTGACAAAAAAAGTTTTATTTTATCAGAACTTTTATTGTGAAGCAAGGGCTTCAGTGACTGCAGTATTTCGATTTTTTTTACAATTTAATTTAGAGTGCTTTCAGAAAATGACTATGTGTTTGAGTATCTTAACAAAAAGGATGTGTATTATTTCTATTTTCGTTCCAGAGTAACTTAGGTGTCTTGTATCTGTTGAAGTATGAGTGTTCAAATGATAGGAAATCTGTAAAAACAAAAAATTATTTTTTTTTAAAAAATATTTCCCAATTTCATTAATCGATTTTTATTTTCTATTTTTTTTCCTCTCTTTAACTGTATAGCATGGCTATAATCCTATGCAATATGTATTCTTAAATAGATATATGGAGGGCAGTTTGATTTACTCAGTGAAGCTTTAACAATGTGGGATCACTTGGAAGCTGGCATAGCAAAATTCACTGCTGTAGCTGCATGACTCCTCTTTCAATACAATGTATAAATGTGTGTTGCGGTGGAAATGGACCTGCTTTATGGATGGGGACAGAGGGACCAGAGTATATAGCCACGATCAAACATATGAGTGAGACCAATATTTTTTTCTGAATAAAAAAAAAAAAACAGATGTCTTTGTTTTTTTATTGTTCTGTACCCCAAACCTTCCAAAATTAGGTACCACTGAAAGCATTTACTTTGAACCATATCCCATTACAAGGAACTAAAACTGTAAATACATCAGGTAAAGAACAAAAAGAAGTACTAACCACAACTTCCTACATAAAAAAGTGAGAAACAAAGCTGACACTAACTTGACCTTTTGTTCTTTGGCTGTTTAGATGTTTTACTCTTCAATTAGCTTCTTGAGCTCCTTCTCTACCTTCTCTACAAATGCAGGGAAGCTGGGGTCCAGCAGACAAACACGCAGAAATGGCTCCAAGTCGCCTTCTGCCAAAGAACTGTGGTTATAGATTTGCGGGAGAGTCACAGAGGCGTCTCCCAGGAAGTGCTGTGGAATGGTAAAAGAAACATCTTAAAATTCCCATTTTAAAATAAACAAAAAGGAGAGACACATAAAGTGAACTGTACAGAGGGTTTATTAACAGTTAGCTTTGCATTACTTTCACATGAATTTACCTCAGTTTAAACCATCAATACCTGGGTAAGTTGCTTGATAGATACAGCTCCCTGAACAACCTCTTCCCCCACAGTCTTTTCCTGACAAGACAGCTGGCACAAGACACAAAATAAAATATATTTTTTTAAAAGCTTTGACAAACAGAGCATGACACCATAAAGTAGGAAGACCAATCAATGGTTTCATTACTAATTGAAAATTGTCCACCCCTCAAAGTCCTTTCATCTTCACTGTGAACTTCTGCATTGCGTTTGTCCCCTAAAGGTCACATTCAGCCCCGTGACAGCGTCCATCCCTTCCTCGGTTCATCGCGTTTAACGCTGAGAAGAGCCGAGCGCTTCTATCGGAAGCTGAACGTTTTCACACTTCAACACTGTCGTGAGGCAAAACTGAATCAGTTTTCAACTATTTTATTCCAACAGTTTGTTCACAAAGTTTATGTAATTTTACGTCACTTTGCTGACGGTTACATGAATGCACAGTACATTTGGATAAAATGTTAACTCTGATACTGCAGACTGATTTGTTGAGGGGCATGTGCCACTTTAATTATTACACTAATACAACATTTAAATTAATGTTCTAAATTACCTTATGTGAATGAATACATTGTGCTGGTGCATACTGTATTCTACACCACCTCTAGTGCAAAGACTAATCTGTCTCAGTCCACCAAAAGTAGCTGTAATGCCACCTTTCAGAAGACACTGTTGTAAATAGCACCATCTAGTGAGAACATTTTGTTATTGATAATCAGGCTGATGACAACAGTTGGAAATCCGCTGTGGATAACAAAAACTGTTTTGTAGTTATTGCTTGCCACAAAAGGTGAAAACAATTTTTTTTATCAGTGTCTTTGTGTTTATTTGTCTGTACTGATAGCAAAACAATCTATAAATCACTGAAACTGATTTTAATGAAACTTTCCTAAATGACTCATTGAGATGACATGATGAACATTTGGAGTCAGTCCAATTTAAGATGGCTGCCACAGCTAATCAACATTAAAACACACAAAAAGTGGCTACAATTAATTGTACTGGTATTGAGCTAAAATTAGATGTAGTATTAGCTGAAGCTGATTCCCAACGTCTACTCGAATCACTACCTAATCACATGAGATCTGTGTTTAACACTTTGGCATTAACTACTGAGGTGCATGCTGTTTACTTGTTAACACAAGTTCTCATCAAGCACTAAATGTATAGAAACTTTCAAAAAGTAATCAGTGGGTGTACATCTACAACCGATTTTGAACTTTCAGAATCACTTCAAAAATGGCAAAGCTAAAATTTGACGTGGTAGTAGCTGAGAGTCATTCACAACGTCTAGTCTGAGCGAGATATCTTATCTGTTAAGCTCATGCTTAAAGTTTTATTATCCCCCCCAAAGATTTGACCAAACCAGCTACAACTCCATCATTTCTCTACATTTAGACGGTTCCAGTCTAAACCTCCAGCATAAATGGCAGCGGGTGATTTGCATTCCTTCGAGGAACGTTTGGACTTTAAATAAACAAAGAAATGTCTCACCATTCCTGACAAATGAAAACAACTTTAAATGAATAAAATGTGATTTGATGGTCTAATATCTCACTTACAGGTTACTTTTGCCAACTCCATTTAAAAAAAAAAAAAAACATTTTTAATGTACAGAAAACCAGTGGCGGCTTTGATTTAAAAACACATTTTCTGAGAGACTGGGCAACCTGTGTTCCTGGTGCAGGGACTTCAGTGGGGGGCTGATTTGGATGTACTGAGGCGCCACCCAGGGCGCTGACAGGTACGTACTCCATCAGTTTTTCCACAGCGCTTGAACACTGATTTATGGTTTCTGCTGTGCTGCTTCCATCAAACTGCATCCTTATCATGCGGCTCTCCCCCTGCAGAAAGACGCACACACAAGCACGCACACACACACAATCCGTCTCTGTCAATCAACTCTACTAATAAAAACATAATCTGTGATTTGTACGTTTTTCTTGTTAAAAATCATCAGCTCTGATTGTGTTTACAGTGATGCGCATAAAGTTTTTTCAAACTATGACAGGCAATTAATCATCTAATAGTTCATATAAGTTAAGAATAATTATGTCACTGTACTTGTCTTGATATTAAAAAAAAACTTAAAAATTGAAATTAGACTCACAAAAGTAACATGTAACTCATTGCTCACCTTTACAGTCAATTGAAACATCAAGTTATCAGATCTGTGTTGCATTTTAAGAGCATCGGGGCCAGCGCTCAAATGTATGGCATCCTGAAAATAAGAAAAAAAAATTTAGAAAGTTGAACAGTTTTATCTCCAAACTCCAAGAACATAAAATAACGTGACCATTATGAAAACAATTGTTTAGGCTTAAAATATAATTTTAAACAATGTTAAATTAAAAAAAAGCTTAACTCCCACCCAAAAGCTTGTAATGATATTACGTACTAAATAAAATAGTGAGGATTAAACTAGTGGAGATTTAAGCAAAAACTGTTACAACAAACTGTCTGCAGGGGTCTCTGTTTACTCTGTAACGTCACAGCTTTGACTGTCCAGACAAGACTTCCCACATAAGCAGGTAAACAAGGTCACAAACAATAAAAATACAGTAAGATTTTGTTAAGTCTGCTTCACAAATGTTGACTTCAATAATAAACTTTTGCATGTATATCAAGTTGGCTCTCCTCCATATATTTGCACTGCATAAAAAGTTGACTCTACTTTAGCCACCTGCACAATTCCAAACTAACTATATTTTCATTTAAAAAAAATAAAGCTTGTATAAACAGAAAAAGTAAACATTAAATACTGTGACAAGTATGAAAATATGTCTGTAAACTAGTTAAAGATGTACTCAGATTTTAAAAGAACATGTAAGACTCTTTAAACATCTTGTAAAATATTTGTATTTCATTAATTTGTCTTATAAAATGTATATACTTTACAAAAAGTTACAGGGATTGCTCAGAGTTCTTGTAATAAGCCATCTTTCTAACAATTCACTTTATTGCTCTATAACTCTTTACAGCAGGGCAAGTCAACTGGCAGCCCGCGGGCCACTTCTGGCCTGCAGGTGACCAGTCCGTTAAAGGTAAACCGATCATTGTAAAACTTGGTTTATTTACATTATAACTTTAATTACTGGATGTCCGGCCCCTGAGCTGCTGGCTTTCAGGAACTGTGCCCCCCCTGAGCAGTTTAGGTGAATAGCCCTGCTTTACACTAGTGCATCGTTTGTAGTATTAATATTATAATGGTTTATCCTTCTCAGGTGATGGCTGATCACTCAGAAGTATTTTCATTTTGATGTGACCATTGATATTTATAGTAATGCCTTAATTTAAAAAAAATATAATTAAACAATATTTTATATTCAATTTTGAAACAATTCCTTTAACCATTTTCAAAGTCTCAAACCTTAACTTCTGGATTAAACCATCCTAAGCATTTACCACGCTGGTCTGTCATCCTCAGTGAGTCTCTCTGCAGTCTGAGCTGACTGTATGTCCGACTTGTCAACTTGGCACAGCAAGACAGCTGCAGGAACACCATTAATCAGACTGAGTGGTTCATACCATTTTTATTGTGCGCAGGTCAGAGAAATGTTTTGCACCCTGGGTGTCTGTGATACAGATGTGTTCAAAGACAAAAGAAAAGGTTTCCTGTTCAGCATAAAAGCACAGACTTTCCTCTGAAAGTCACTGTCAAACTCTCATTCTAAAGTAGAGCAAAACTAACCCAATGAATTCAATACAATTAAGTTGATTTATATAACACTAAGTCACAACAGAAGTCATCTCAGGGCACTGTACAGAAAAATTCATATACATAAAAAGTAAGTTAGTAACATTAATTATCTGAGGAGCAGACTGTGTTGAGCCTAACTTCATCTGAGCAAGCATGAAGGCAGCAGTAGAAAGGAAAAACTCCCTCATGAGGAAGAAACCTCGAACAGAACCAGGCTCAGGACAAACGGTCATCTTCTTCAACCAGCTGGGTTTGAGAATTGTGAGTTACAACCACTCTAACTATGTAACACACAATACGAATGGTAAATGTAAAAAAGGGACTGAGTAGTTTCTAATTTTTCTTCTTCTATCCATGGATTTGATACTTTTCCCTCTAAAATTCTTGAACCCAAGGAGTTAGCAGAAGAGTTGCCTTGACCATCCGAAATGCTGCAGTCCAATCCCAACAGACTTGAGTACAAATGTCAGGCTGTTTAACAAAGTATTTTATCTGGCTGTCATCACAAGCTTTGATCCAAAAAGCATACTACTATTCCAATACTTGAGAACTCAAAAGAAAAAGACGAGTTGCCTTACACTATCTAGATCTATCTGTGAAGAAGTCTTCTGGATGAAAGACAAAACATTTGAACAAACAAGAATCTGTCCAGAGAACCTGACTCAACCTTGTTAGATTTATCTATCTGGATTGTTGAGTAGCATCAGGACCTTTCTCAAGCTATTTTAAAAAGCACACAGTGAACTGGGTACTATTTCACTTTAACAAGTATACGACAGCTTTTTAATGTGTTATTAAAGAAATGACGACACAAAGCATGAAAGACATAACGCTACAATGTTCTGTTATGAAATATTACATGTCCCACCAAGTATGACATTTTTCACAGGTGTTTTGCCATCTTCAGATTTAATGCTCCCTTCATAGGGGGAAGAAAAGCAATAACAAACCAGGACATAAAGCAAATTACCCCAGTCAGAAGACAGCACTCGCTCACTTTAAATGAGTTCTTATGATTTCCCTCACTGTCTTGATCTACTGCTTTGTGCTACAGAACAAGATGCAAATGAACTCTACGCCTCTGCAAATGTTTCAGAAACAGGCTCAAATTCAAATGTCAAGCATATACGAATGTCATATGGAGTTAATGTAACCTGCAGAGCAGCTGCAACACAATTTAACAAGAACTATGTCTAGTTGTGTGCATATAAAAAGACATTTGTATAATAATGCACCTTACAAAAAGCTTTGTATGCCACACCATAACATCAATAATCTTTTTTTTTTAAGTTAGAATTAAAACCAATGTGTAAAATAACACCTGGTGTAATTTGAGTAACCTGTTGAATTTAATGTTATTAAATATTTTTGGGGGGTTAGAATTGTGAAGAGAAAAACAAACAAACAAACAAATCAGAAACCACCTCTCATCCAAAATTAAAATGGCTTAAACAAAGCAACAGCATCCTGAATATAAGTATTACAGATTATTGTGTGTCAAAATGTAAAATCCAGAAAAATACAAAAACAAAACAACTCGTCTTCTCACCAAGCTTTCCTGTCCTTGTGTTATCAATAAAAATCCAGAGTCCAACAATGTTAGGACAATTTCCGGTTTGTTGTCCTTTGCCTCATAAATCTGGTAACAAAGCACAATAATGCAAACAATTAGTAACAAATTGTTACATACAGTTTTGTTTTGACAAAAATTGTTGTGGGCAATTTGTTGGACCCTGCAATTTCATAATATTTAATTTTCTCAACGCAGAAGTGATTAATCAGTTATTCTTAAATTATTATAGTGTTGCTACACATCCTTGAACCTTGAAATGCACCGAGTGTCTAGAGTTTGGTGTGGTTCATAAATCTGAAGTGACAATAATTTGTTTCCTGATTCGTTATAACACAACATATAGAACTTAGCATAATTTAATGGAGGTATGTATATACAACACAACAAAAATAAAACAATAATATCTATGAGTGACATTTAGTGGAATTTAAACTGGTCATCAAAATGGTAAAAATGAGATTTTTTAAATGTAAATCTATGTTAACCCTTTTTGCAGCCAAATCGTCTCTGTCCCATCAGAGTAAAATCAACAAGATGACCAGAACTCGTTTTCGTACCTGCAACAAATTGATCAATCTTTTTGGCTCCACTTCTCATTGGTTTCATCGTTACATTTAAAACCACACACAAAAAAAATACCCCACTATTATTACATCTGTGTGTCCATTTTGTCCTATCATTTTGAATACATTTTGAATATTTTGACCTCACTTTACTACATTTACACTTGTAAAACTGTTAAATTATAAAGCTTGCTCTTTTAGGCTATATTATATAAATGTAATTTCACAATATGTTTAATTAGATTTTACACAAGTTGTAGTATTCTTATGACTGTTGGTATTGTTTTGTCTCTTAATCGAACTGTATGTTTAAATCTGTCTTGATTTATTTATTCAGGTGGAAAGTATTTTTGCTCTCTGCTCTCAGTTTTGCCTCTAACATTCTATACACTACTTGTTGTATCTTAAACCATAAGATTTGTGTGTACATTTATTAATTAATAAATCATTTTGATTTCCATTGCACTTACCTATATGATGAGAACTGTATGTTCTGTCTCATTACCCAATTTTTCTCATTCATATTTTATATGAACATTTAGATGATCTTTTTTTTTATTTAATTTTACAATGTTGGTATGCTTCATCTGGTTTGATTGGTTGAGATATGAGAATACGCTGTCTCTTTTGTTTCCTATCTTCCAGTGGTCCTATCCTGTCAACCATTACAAGTCTAGTGTGGCTCAACACGTTGAAAGTCAAATACTCTCATTACACTAAAATCTTAGTGACTGCTCCAAAGAAGTTCCTGATTTCTTTTGAGCATCTCAGAACAATTGTTATAATTATTGTTAATGTTGCATAGGTAAAGTTGTGAATATAATTTTAACATTTGTACATAAAATGCTTGTTTAGAAATCTGCACTGTTATTTAGAGATTGTATTGTATAAATATCATCTTATTTTCAAACTATGCTTTTTAAATTTTATTTTCAATCTTTTATTTTTGTAAATCTCTATGCATAATTTTGAATGCCTTTCACAAAGAATAATATGCAGTACTTTTGTAAGATTATGGAAAAAGCTCTTTACGTTTTTTTATTTAATCTGAAGTTACTGTGTAAAGTAAAATCTTACAAAATAATAATAAAATGAAGTACAACAAAGTGTTGCATAGTAATCATGAGACTGATTGTTATGCCTAAAATGTACTGTATATGATAAAGAGTTAAACATTTGTTAAAATACGGCGGTTAAATATTAGAAATAATTCATGCAAAGTTTAGCAACTTCTTTCGACTTGTCGAAAAGGCAAGACCGGCTGTAGCTAAGCTAGCAACTTTGTTGCTACACAAATCTAAATAACGCTCAAAATTACAAATTAGTTTTTATAGTAAAAACCTAATTTGTACTACTTGTCTAAAAACTCAAATTGTATATGTCTAGAACAAAGATATAGTCAGTGAGATTTTTTTCTTTTAAGCTGCTTTTAGCTGCAAGCTAACGTCCACACGAGCTAACATCTGCTAGCTTAAAAACAAACTAGTTGTTTAACAGCTCTCAGTTACCTTCCAAGAGTTTCCTCCTGTTTGGTTTGCACGCTGGACAAATCGTCCATAGCGTTTTAATTTCCAAGTCTGACCTGTAGACATTTTTTGAGGACAGACTGGTGCTGGAAAGTTTCTTGTCAATACACAACTGAACTCAAGTTTCACACTGTCAGCGCGGGAAGGACAAGAATACTCATTTGCTATCTATCTATATCTATCTATCTATATCTATCTATCTATATCTATCTATATCTATCTATCTAT